CAATGTCTGAAATTATTTATATTTCAAACAGGGATTTTTATTGTGACTTCTGTTGCTTTTTAATTACCAACCTGCTTATTGAAGTCAAGTTGAAGATGCCTACCTCATTCTTAGCCATTTCTTTTTTGTAAAGTTTGGTACATACTGGGTTCCTCTTTTCAGGAACATAGCACATGAGAAACTCCTTTTGCTTAGACCCAGATTTTTCTTTGATCACATTTCCAGAGAAGGGACCTCTCCAGCAATTGACTGGTCTGTCTTCTCTGGTTTTAGTACTACCTTTGTACTGATTGACTAATAGAAACTCTGCATCTTCATCCAGCCCCTTTGAGAGACCCAAAGTAACTATCAGGTGCTAAAAGTTTGAGTCTAGATTGTATTCTCTTAGTAAGACAGAAGCAGTAATGACCCGCTCTGTTGCTTGGCTTCATACATTGTTGCTTAGGTGATCTGGTAAGTAAGAGAGGAGGGGGCAGTCTGGCTACGCCCCAGTAGTCAAGAAGTGTTACCTTGTCTGCAATCTTCACAAAGAGGCTGAAACCTTCCCAGGAGCTCAGCTGCAATTTGGAGGCAATGCTCTGACACAGAGTGCGGATTTTGGTGTTTGTTCCCACATCAAATGTCTATGAGATAACAAGACTCTTGTTACACAGAGAAAAGGAAGAAACAGGAACATGGAATAGCTTTAAACTTGCTCCTGCATGAACACGTCATGGCTGGGAAAACAAGTAAGCTCTCACCTCTTCTGTTTCATTGGGGAAGCAGATCTTGTGTGAGATCTTAGTGTTATTTTGTAAGATGGCCTCAACCTCCACAGGATGCGGTGCCCACTTCCTGGAGCCACTCCTGGAAAATGCCACCATCACCACAACAAAGATCAGTGTTGGGTGTTTAATCTTTGAGGAACTGAACAACAGTATCCCATCCAAACAACAGACTCCATCCAGAATGCTAGTACTATGCGATGGGGCAGGCTACAATGGACCTTCACCCTGTTGCAAACATCAGTGTATTAACAGCAAGAAAATGAGGGTCCTGTTAGCATGTATTTTAAAAGTCTGTTCTACTCTGCAAGGAGGTTGCATTAATAGGTTGCACCTTCCTAGCCAGTACCATTACCCCTTCTATGTATTTAGCAGCGTTTTTCATTACTGTTATTGAAATACGAGGATAGTGGCCACAAGGAGGAATACATTTTATTTAACTCTTGCAAAAAGATGTGTTCAGATACAAAACGAGTTACAGAGCAGGAGACAAGTCCCATGAAAGTTTGGAGTGCTGCTAGAAGCATTACACCTTATATAAGAGCTGGCATGTAATCACTGACTCAAGGAGTTTAAACTGTACAATCCCAGTTCTTTGAAATTGTATCTCAGAGCAAAGCAAAGGAACTGGCTCTGAAGTCTGAGTTGTGCCTTGATACAGTTAAAATGAGAACAGATCTAGCACATTACCTTCTGGGGCTGGTATTTTCCTGCCCTCAGTGGCACAGAGCAGGCTGTTTGGAGGTTTTGTACACCACAGCTTAGGGCCAAGCTCCTCTCTTACACTGGGCCTAGTCCCTCGAGAAGAGAGCTTAGTCTGGCACCCAGCTTGAGTCGAAAACTAGGGTTTTTTCTATTAACTGAAATAGCAGTTCCATTTGGAGAAGGAAGGCCTGACTGTAACTAAATTAAACAGCATGTGCTCTGGTTCTGTGCAGGCACTGTAGGGAGTGTGGACCTACCCTACTCAGCCATCCATTCCTGGACTTGCAGGAGAGAGAGGCCACAGGAGACCAAGGAAGTGCAGCAGCCTGGCTGCAGCCTCAGCTAGGAACTTGTTGCCAAGGCAAGTTCTGCTTAACACTCATCAGGGTGCTCACTGGTTCCCTGGCCAGGAGTCTGGGGATGAAGCTGTAAAGCTCTTTATGGAGGAAAAGGTGTACCCTAGGGCTCACTTGGCTTCTACTCTATGTATTGTATGTCAGGCTTCTGAGCTTCCTGTGCTCCCTTTTCCAAAGACAGCAGTATACTTACAGGGAGAATTTGGACTAGATGATTACTGCAGGTCACTTCCAACTGCAATATTCTATTCAGAGCAGGTTTAATCACAGGACAACAAAATTTGTCTTTGTTCCTCTTCCCATCCCCCGGCCTCCAGATCTGGGACAGTTTAGCAGATAGAATTCTCCTCCCAAACAGCCCATTCTGCTTTTTCTTCTGTGTTTCCCCACTCTAAAGAAGCTCTGTACAGCTCAACAGGGTTTACAGCATGAATAGCACATGATATAGGGAGGCAGGAAATTTTCAGTCTTCTCCATAGAAAAAAAGAACAATGAATAGCACTCCTCGCCATGCATTTTTCAGGCACTTCAAAAGTGATTTCAATGTGCAGTGACATTTTCCCAGCAGTGCCAAAAACCATCCACTGAGACAGCCACTGTGTTAGCATTCCTCTCCAGCCTGACCCACAGGGCTCACAGACCAAAAGCAGGGCCCAGCCTAAGAGAAAGGGGAGACTGGAGGAGCAGGAGGGAGAAATCATTGGGCAGCTTCTTTACTGAAGAGGTCTGTGGCAGGAACATGGTAACTCACAGCAGCATCAAAAGGAGGAAGGCTGGGGTTAAGCTTGTTCTTGGAGTGTCAAGCTGGGTAATTCCAGTGCCTGAAAGAATCTAGGAAAACTTTACACCTACAGTTTAGCTGAAGCTTCCTGAAATCCTGGTAGCCCTTCTGCTCTCTCTGGTTGCGTCATGTTCATTGTACCAACATACCCAGCTCTGGGAGTCAAGTGATGATGTGTAATACTGAACTTGTTACAATGTTGGTAACTGTGACACAGACCCCTCTTACTAGTTCAAAGTTTGTAAGAGAATTCATAGATGCATTTAAATTGCCCTGTGGATCTGGACTACAACTGTGGCATGCTAGCCCCTTGCTCATTTCTAGCAAGCCTTGTATTAATCCCTTTCCTCTTCAAACCTAGTTTAAAGCCCTCTCTCTGAGCCCATCTAGCTCCTGGGCTAGAATCCTTCTCCCCCTTTGGGACAGACATACCCCATCTGCCACGAGCAGGCCTGGTGCCGTGTAGACTGATCCACGGTCAAAAAGCCCCAAATTCTGATGCTGACATCAGTCACGGAGCCAGGAACTCATTAGTGAGATTTTCCGATGTAACCATAGTCATTGACTGTGACTGGCAGGAAGGACGAGAACACTACTTGGGCTCCTTAACCCTGCACCAGTCACCCCAAGGCCCTTGAAGTACTTCTTGAGTCTCAGGCTTCTTGAAGAGATGTCCTCATTGCCCACATGAAAGACTAAAAAACGATGGTAGTGGCAGGACCACATCAAGTAAGTCAGTTTTCTGGTGAAGTCCCTCACCCTGGCCCCAGGGAGGCAAGCAGACTTCCCTGTGAGTCTGGTCAGGTTGACATATGGGACCCCCTGTTCCCCTTTAGGTGGGAGATGCCAGATCCTTTACCTCATCACTCTCTGAATCCTCCGACTGCACTCCAGGGCCAGTGTTTCTTTCTGACGTGTCTCCATGAACTTCTGGGCATGTTTTAGCAGTGACTTGCTGGGTGGGAACATGCCAGTGCAGAGCCAAAGGAGCTGCCAGCCCTTGGTCACGCTGTACCTGTGAACACAAAGCAAACAGTTCTGCTCTAGACACATATAATTCTTTGTTTGACCACACACCAACTACAGGGAAGAGAAACAAACACTCTCCCATAATGGTATGTACTGCTGTTCAGCAGAGAGCTGCTAATCAACAGTGCCTTCTCATGGGAACTGGCAGTGATTTTTCTGTGCAACAGCCAGAGTCCATATGTGAAGACAATGCTAAATCCTGGTTGATAAATATTCATGACAGTTGCAAATCTCATGAATAAACATAAGCTCCAGTTTAACATTCATCTTGGCAGCAGTGGCCCCAGTGCCATCCTCTTGGAAAGCCACTGTCAATATGCTGCTCAAGCACACATGCTTTTGGATTGCGCCTTATCAGCTGTTCATATTCACCTGCCCTCTGTGCTAGACAGCTTTGCTCTTGCATCTTTACTTTCCCTCAAGCATGCTCATGCTCTGAAAAATAAGCACGTAGATGGTATTGTGTAATGAGGTAGGTACAGTTCTTAAACACACCAGATGAAGTCTGTACAACTTTCAGGCAGAAAGCCAGTTCTTTCAGCCTCTGGACTTGTGAAATCTGACAGTCAAAGTTCTTCTGGCATCTCACCCTCACCAGTAAGAAAGGCTCTGCAGCCAGGAGGCGGTCAGTCATTCTACCTTCAAAGCCAGCAGAACACACTTCAGCTGTGTCCCAGGAATTGCTCTGAAATGTTTAATGGTGTGAAGTGGTTTTGGCTGGGAAAGTTAGCAGGTCTGCCTCTGAATGGGTACCAGACTCTGCTGAATGAGGAGGTCCTAGCTTCCTTATTCCCATTTATTTCTCTGATTTTGCAGATGAAAACATGCTATTTTAATCCCATTTATAGATCTGTGGTGTTTGTGTCTATCTGAGAGCAGGACATGGTCCACAGTGCAGTAGCCTGGGAAGGAAGAAAGATTTGTTGCTCTGGCTGTTCTAATGAAAGTATATGGAAATAGCTGCCTTTCAAGCAGTGTTTTTTCCACATCAGTGACGCCCCTCAAAACACTGGCTAAATTGGCAGAGTGCATCAGGCATGGCACTGGCACCATGGTTACAGACTATGCATTAAATAGCCTGGAAGATTTAGTGCACAGAATGAAAATTACTGTTTAATAGTTAGTAATGTTCCACTAAATTTAATATTTGTGGAACAAGAAGAAAGAAAACCAAATGGAAGATCCTTCTCTAAGTTTTGCAGTGATGCAGTGCAGCTAGAAACAAACCATTTTGTTAATAATTAGTACTATTTTAAACCTCCTTTAGCAATTCAGTTCCCCTCGAAGTAGGTCAAATTATCATTTTATGAGTGAGGAAAGAAAACACCAGCCTGTTACAGGGACTTACACATAGGCAAGGCCCATGTAATCAATCTGTTCTGCAAGGCAGTTGTATAAACTACTTAACATGACTATTCAGAAGTATTTACTGGTGATAAAAGACCTAGCGTGAACTCTGTGCTTATAGGAGGGAAATATTGTCATTGGGAAAATTTCAAACCAATGGAGGGCTGGCAGAGCAGTCACTGAAAGCATGTAAGAACTTTATGCACTGCGTTATTCACTCCACAGACTGCTTTGGGAGTAAGAAGGCTTTAGTAACACCTTGCTTGCCTCATGTCATATTGCACAGAATTTAGCACTGAATGCTGATGGCAGCAAAGCAGCAGCTCAAGGGAGATGAGTGACAGTCATGCTCTGTGGCCTGTCTGTAGTCTAAAGTGCTGTGCACAGGTGAGCCCCATAGCACTGCCCAGGAAAAGGAAGAAGGAAGGTGTCCCTCCAACGTTTGGCCAGCCTTCCCCTCTGCCTCCACCCCACCACCATGAGGAGCTGAGGTTCCTCATCACCACCTGCATTTGAGCCTGGCTCTGCAGAAGCAGGGTGCTTGCACTCAGGTGAGTACCTGTTTCTGTTCTCAGTCAGTTGCTTCATAATCTGACAGTAAATTTCATCCCGTAGGATCTCTTCCTGGATAGCTGCTACAAATATCTGGTCAGTGACTTCCACAGAGGAGTGCATCTGTTTTGAGGGATAGTCTCCCATGAATTTCATGATGGGTGAATGTGCTGTTAAGGAAAAAAAGAGGCCAATTTTGGAAGGCAAATGAGAAGTCTCACCTGAATCCTAACATGTTTGTGACTCTTTCGATATCTAATGGCAAATACTGGGAGGAGGGTCTGGAATATATTCCCTGCCTGTCCACTACCCTCTTTCCCTGTGCAGCAGTCACTGCTTGGCTGTGATTTGTACTGTATTAGCTGCTTGCTCTGGGCATATTAGCTACTGCTCTGGGCAGTAGATCTCACTCATTCCTAAAGCAACATTCTCAGTTAAGTGAGCCAGCAGGAGTTGAGGAGCACTGGGAGGGAATAGGAAGCTTTCCTCTATAGATAAGAGAAACAGAGTTGATACCCCCCGCCTTGATGTACATGTCTCCCTTGTAATGTGGATGCAGTATTATCCCAATGGAGGTGAGTTTAATGGATGCAGCTAGCTCCTCCTTCCCCTGAGTGTTCTCAGGTCCCAAATTGATGAGTGAAAGGATATCGATGAAGGCCTGACAAGCCAAATCAGGAAGATCAGGGTCTGTGCATGCTCTCTTCAGCAAGGGCTGTTTCAAGGGCTCCTTAGAATGTGCCCACAGTTGACTGCGCCCACGGGATTTCTGGAGAACAGCTTTGCTGATGGATTCCTTCTCAGGAGTCCTGAATGAAGACAAAGACAAGTGCAGGCAACACAGGATTACTGGATCGGTATTGCTATGAACACAGGAGGTCACTGTCACACAGACTTCCATAGTCATGTTCTTTCTCAAAACAGTGATCTCCTATCTCTTTTGATTATTCATATCAACAAGGAGATGTAGTTTCTTGTAGATCCAGAAGGAAGATGGCTTGAAAACAGAACACAGGTTTTAGAAGACTAATTTTTCCCTTGCTGTCCAAGGCCTGTGATGTTGCGTATCCTCAGTAGCTGGTAAGTGCTGAAGAAGGGTGAGAAGTAAGAATAGTGCCTGCTGCAAAGAAGCAAGTCCAGCTGGGGTTCTTCAATCCTTACCTTTGCATTTCTGCAAATAAAAGATACAAGTAGGCCATGTGCCAGAAACTCTATACATCAAAAGTCACAATTATGGAGAACAATTGGCATCTCCATCAGAAAAGGGGGATGCCATTACATCCTAGGCTTTATGTGTCACTGAAGATCAATAAGAACTTTCCTAGGGTGCACACTACACAGAGAGTTTCACCTGAAGTGCTCATAGGAGAACTCCTCTAGGGTGTAAGGCTTCACTTCGAGATCTTCTTCATCAGGTTCATCCACGTAGGAGTTCTGTGAAGCTGTCCTCCTCTGGTCTGGAGACATCATCAGCAAACTCTGGAATGACACAGCCACGTAGAAATGTCACATGGACACAGATCTCTGCACAGATTGTCATGGGTTACTCAGCATATATGCACTAAATTCGGTACTGTGTGCCAGAGGAGACTTTCTGTTCCCTAAGCAGCATCTTCAGAGACTCAAGAAAGACTTGGGAATACTTATTGAAGTAATTTCCATAGACCAAACAGTAGTGGATGTGGATGTGATTATCCAAAGCACAACACTTGTGAAAAATCCACCTGCCTATTACTAGTGTGTTTTCCCCCACATTTTCAGCTTTTTACTTTTTAGTACTGTATCAAATACAGTGAATCTCCAAAACTGAAGACAAAATTGTTATCAGAGTGCTTGATGGGAAACCTTGACTCACTGAAAAAGCATATTCTGTTAAAGTAACTACCTGCACTTAGAGCTTCCCTTGAGATGTATGATCACCAAGCAAGCCTGGTGTGAATGCAGGAAAATTCAACTGCACACCCATTTCCAGGAATTGCCTCAGATTCCAGGAACTCAAATCCCTAACAATTGAACAGACTGGTTTTTGGAGTTATTGCTTTTGGGCAAGTGTGGTCTTCTGTGTAGAGTTTTGGCTATGTTTAGTTTTTGGATAGGACAGAATGAAATGCTTTGCTTCAATGGGAGGTACGGAACTTATCTGACTTTAGAGGAACAACTGACTTCCAGTTATAAATTTAATCATATTTAACACTGTTATAATTTATCTTCCAGTCTCTTCAAAGGGAGTGCTCGGCTTGTCTTACCAGTACTTGACTAGAGGGTTTTGTCAGAGAAGGAATGATGTAGATATCTTCCAAAAATACATTCCCTGTTTTGCCTGTCCTTTCATTCTGGGCACAGATCCAGCCAGAGTCTGCATCCAGCCTTTTGTCTTCGGTGAAGATTAGCAAGTCTCCCTTCTTGAAGGACAGGATGGCAGGGTCTTCTGGGAAACAGAATAAGGGAGTACTGTTCAGGCTTGACAGTCAAAGAAAATGCAAAGTGATTGCAATGTGAAAGACAAGGGAATTGTATTTTGAAGGCCTGACTTCAATTAGTAATAGTAAGTGATTTGTGTAAATACAGCTAATTATCTAGTAAGACTTCAGAGAAATCACATTTCCTCTGACAGCCTGATTTTGGTGCACTGAGGGCAATGGCAAAACTCTATTTGATTTAAATGAATGCTGACCTTGTGTGTAGAACTGGTAGCAAATCATATAAAGAAACTCAGTAGCTGTAAGTAGGTGAAGTTAATGTTTACATTTTAATCCCCTTTTGTCTGTTCCAGCCAACTGTATTCCACAGAAAATTCCAGTTTACCATCTCTCTGAAGTTCTTCCGGAAACTATTTCCAGGGAGCCTAGATCCAGTTTCCTACTATAAGCAGGCTGGACACTGTACTATCTAAATAAAATACTCAAAGAAGTAGAAGGAGGAAGGAAAGGTAATTTGTATGCAAAGATACTGCTGTGCTGATCACTGAGCATCCCTCCTGGAGCAAAGGGACTCTTGCTGAAGTTCTCCCTCTTCTCTTTAGGCTCTTTCAATCAGTGCTGTGTATTCTCCCAAGATTTCTTCCCTACCCTGTAGAAAAGTTATAAGACTTACCCTGAGATTTTTTCTCCTGCATTGCCACAGCAAATCGTGATCTCTTCTTCAGTCCTTCCAGGAACATGACCACTAGTTCAGCAATGACAACGCTGTTTACAGATGTCAGGACAAACTCCTCGGCACGAAGTGTAATGAGAGTACAACTCTGTCCAAATGTCTTCACTGCCCTATGTAGTATTGAACAGTTTGTTACCAGAGCATCTGAAAGAGTTACAGACACACCTGCAATTACAGCCAAGGCACCTACACCTCTTTGCAGACAACTCCCTTACAGTGAGTATTGGTAGTTCTTTATTTGCCTTCTCATGAGTTGGTAGGTGTGAAGGACTGAAGTGGTTCAGGTTCACTCTGGACTCCATCATGTTTGTACAAAAGTGCTTCACTACAGAATAAGTAACTGGGCAACTGATTAAATCTGTGACAGTCCTTACAGTGGTGTTTTTTTGTGTACGTGAGATCCTAATCACTGAGTGATCTGATGTAAGGATGTGTGCCCTGAGCAAACCAATGATTACCCTCTTTCCCTCAGTTATCCTGTTCAGGTCCATCACAACTGAGAAGTATATAAACTCCCAACATGCGTAACAGATGATGGCTTAACTATGTTAGTTATTTGGGCCATTCTTGTCTTGATGCATGTCTGTGCTTCCTTATACCTTTCTGACTGAGCAGGATCGTCATCCCTTCTAACAGCTGGGAAGATTCAGTCATTTCAATGTTTCCTTTACAAGCTGCTCAGAACTTGTCCCTTTCTGTTTCCCAGATTGAGGCTAAACCACCTTTCCAGGCTCAGATCAAATCACCTAGGGGGGCAGCAGGGAAAGTACACCTCCCCCCTTACATGGAATATCCTTTCTGATATGGGCAGAGAAGCCTTTTTCAGATCTTGTCTTTCTGGGACACTCACCTGTTGGTGTGGATGCCAGTTATCTCTGGGAAGGTCAGCTCAAGGAGCCGCTTTTCTGACTCATCCAAGAAGTAGATACCTTTCCAGTTTACAGCAACAATGAAGTGGTTCTTGGGCAAGCTGGGACCTGAAAATGCAATAAAAAACCTTACCTATGCTATCAAGTCCTCCTCTATAGATCTTAGATCTGCCCTCTGCTCCCAGGCTCCAGGTATTACCTGAAAACTTTGTGACTTCAAAGAATCGGGAAAAAAGCAAAGGCCACTGAAAGCGAGCAAAATCTACAAGTTGTCCCTTCACAGTCTGACGGGAGAGACGGTCCTGTGTGTATGGGGCCTGTGGTAGACAAAGAGACCTAAGGTTTTCTCAGTAAAATCTGTTTTGCATGATCTGCAGACAATAAAAAGCAAGCCTGATGCCAGAGATGCCCAGCAGCCCTCAAGGGTACCTGGAGAAAGTCAAATTAGGAACAGCCTCCAGGGGCCAAACCACATGCAGCTGAGGCTGCCCACAGACATGTAGTTTGCATATTTCCCTCAAATCCCCACTGACTGATCTGTTCAGAGTCTAACACAGTTTGGGTGGAAATGATGAAAACCAATCTTCCATCCCATGCCCATCCTGACTTGACTGTCAGATGGGAGATAGAGAGCCCGAAAAGAGACTCTATTCAGAGATTTAAATCTACCTTTTTCATTCTGTACACACACACCCTCTCCCCCGCCTTGGGCCTTACATGGAAGAGTGAGTGTAAAGGTTCTCTGCTCCCCTATTTAACTACTTGGGAAATATAAGCTGAGATGGTTTTCCTTCTTCACCCAACAGACTATTCGTAAATGGAAATGGTGAAAAAAGCAGAAGCTGGTGTTTCAGAGTGGTTACCCAGCAGTGCCAGACAAACCTCTTACCTTAGCATGTGCATAGGTTATAAGGCTCACCCACTTTTCCAGGGGCTTGGACTTCAGCTGTTTTGCTGGAATACAGTCATGGAGCACCTTCTGCAGAAGTTCATTGTGGATGGAATCTCCAAATTGAATGTAACAATATTTTGCACCTATCTCCACCAAATCCTCCTCCTGAAACAATCAATCCATTAAACAAGACTTAGAAAACTGTCACAAAGTCCAGATAGCCTCGTTCAATCTTGAATCCATCTTAGGAACGGGATTTTCTCCGTTTTTGTGTGAATAACTCATGACAGTCATCCAGCATAAGGAGAGATGATCTTCACACAATCATAGCATCAAAGAGATTATTAGCAAAGATATTTTAAAAGGACCTTCATTGCCCTTTTGGACATGCCTCCAGGTGCCACGTGAACTGAAAGTTGCAGACATAAACCAAAATGAATTGCAGCTGCCAGCCTAGCTGCTGGCACAATCACTTGGACTGTGTTTGTTCAGATTAAGAAGAGAAGGGCTGTCCACAGCCACTTTAAAACTACATTCATCTTCCTGCTTTTTTATGTGGAAATGTTAACATAGCTTTGTCCCTTCAGGAGGATGAATAAGGAGACCCACCTTCTCACAGCGATACTCTCCAAACCGGATGCCTCGAATGACTTGGTGGTAAATGAGATCAGTGCTGATAGGATCCTCCTGGGAGTTGTGCCAGGGGGTGAAGATTTCCTTGCGGAAGTAGAGCCGCCAGGGCGCATTGCGTTCGTGTGTGCCCCGCTCCTTCACTAGCTGCTCACACTGAGAGATGGCATCCAGGACGTGATCTCGTCCCCCACCCAGTGACCACACCTAGGACAAAGGGACAACGCTTATTGGAGTGCCTGCTTTGAGTCTGAGGGAAGGACAACAAACCCAAAACTTCTGGTCTCTGGACAGCAAGAAAAACTGCAAAGGTAAGCAGATGGATGTGCAAGTTGTACTTTGGTACATGTATTTTTGTGTACATGGGATGGTATTGGGAAAAATAAGTTGGAAGCTGAAGCAGCTGTGGTTTGCAATTTTCTATTTGTTAGCCATAGAAAGGCAGAATAGAATTATCAGGTCCTGAGATTCAGCTGGGATTCAGAACTGATTTGGTTTGAGCACAGGAGTGGGATGGGGGTGCTTCTAAAAGTCAGAGGGAGTCCTCAGTGAGGCTGGGTTGACAGTACCAACTCCACAGAAAGAGAAGGGAGCTTTCATTCCATTTTTCTGCACTTTACCTTATCAAACACAGCAATGTAGAGCGAAAAACCAAACAAATCCTTCAGTGTGGTCTTATCTGCTATGAACTGACAAATCTCTTTGGCAGTGGAAGCAGAGTCTGCAGGGACAGTGATGCTTTGGCCATTCATCAGGGTGACATTAAACATAATGGGTTTCTTCTGCTTCGTTGCCTGGAAGTCAGAGTTGAATGAGAGAAATAAATTATGAGTAAAGCTTAGTTTTCTGTGAAGAATGAAGAAGCCATTTAGATTTAAGAGTTCTGCACACTATACACCCTAGTCAACTCTTTGTAAATGAATTTCCAGTGCCCACACAGCTTCTTCAATGCATGGTGAGTCTCAAGTATTAATTATATCCCTGGAGCAGCACTAGCCTCAAGTTCTCTCCTCACCACAGCTCAGGGGAGCTGATTATCTCACAACAGTGTAGACTGATAGACTTCTTGTGAGTCTTACTTGGCCTGGTGACTTTTGGGTACAACTTTAGATGTATCAGTGGAGAGATGGCCTGCAGCAAGTACTTTGCCCAAGGAGACTGTTAGGCAATTGGGTCATTCAGATCTAGGAAGGAATTGAACTGAGGCCTTCACTTGAAGGGGGTGTATGTGTGTGACTTCTAATGATGAGGGTGACACTTAAAAGAAGGGGAAGGACAATACAGCCCTATCATACACATTCCTCCTTCTATTTTAAAAGCATAAACCCTGCTCAGTTCTTTCTACAAATGATCATCAGAGCTTTCCTCAGGAAGTGGTTCTGGCCTGTGGGCCCCGAGTGGATGGAGATACCTCCCTGCAAATCACGTGTTGCAGCTCTTAAGGTATACTTTCCACTGGATTTAGGCTAACTGAATAGCCAGAAGAGGTGTATCTAAGAAGCAGCTGGTCTGCAATCCCCTTGTGCAACTGATTTCCTTTATTTGACTTAGGAAGATCTATTAGCACAGGTTTGTAAACAAAATCCAGTATAAAGTAACAGAGGTCAATATAATTAAACAAAAAGGGAGCTGCTACCTGAAGTTCCAGCCAGCTTGGAGGTTCAGTCCGTGCTCCATTGACATAGGTCCGTCTCAGACGTTCAGCACAATATGGTGCATATCCTGCGGGCCCATGGTGGATGAAATTCAACAGGTACTATATGCACAGAGTATAAGAAAGAGTTAGGAAACCCTAATCCTCATAAAGCTTAAGAAACTGTCTGCAGCTGATATACTACAGTCATCAGGATTAAAGGTTAAGCATGGAATTAGTGTTTTGAAAAAGGGGGATTGAGACACCAAGTTTTACCTCATTCTGCAGAGCTTTTAGTCTAAAGAGGAAGACTTGTGTCAGTCTGTTCACTGTGTTTAACTACATGAAAAATACTAGACAGTGGAGACTTTATTCTTATGATTAGGTTAGAGCAAGGTTTAGTGTTTCCAACTGAAGAGCCTGAAGTCTTTTTGCATTTTATAGGAATAAAGGCACTGGGAAGATGGCTAATTGCAGGTTAGGACTAGTAATGATGGTTACTTTTAGTTTTACCAAGTTCTCTGGCAATATCAATAGTTGAAGTCCATGGTTAAGATTGGGCATTGGATGAGAATGATTGGATAAACTGAGTTTGTGGAGTTCATGTGGCTCTGTTATCTTGGATGGCATGGTGTAAGCATGGACTTGTATTTAGTGTCAGCATGGGTTGGTCACCTGGTTATCTTACTGATTATTCCGAGAAATAGGGTATGGTCATGTCTTTCATGAGTTCTGTGTGCTTCACAGTCTTGGAATGAAGACTGATGTCAAAATATATCTATGGCTTCTGTCTGGCTTGTTCCAAGTAGTGTCCGTTTAGCAGCATTTATGATTAGATTAATTATAGCTTAATCATTAGATTAATAATTTGAGCTAAGGTGTCAATAAAGCAACATTGGCGATTCAGGCATATATACGGATTCTGTTTGCCTCTAAGGTCTAGGAGGAAGGCTGATGTCAAGTTGGAGCCATGGATTGTTGGTTGTGTCTCTTTCCTGTGATGAAGTGGATTTATCATACATTTAAATTTGGAAATTAATGAATGATGAAAAAGACCAAATCTCTACTGGATTTTGTAGGGCTTGGAGATGAATTTGAATTCCCAGATAAGCATATGAGATGAGATGGTTTCAGCTAAAATCACAGCACCAGCTGCTATGGCAGTTATATGGCTATCTGTATCAAAACATCAACATACACAAGAAACCATGTCAGCTAAGGCATTAAGCTCTAGGAGAGGATAGTAGTGTACCTTCACAAAAGTATCTGAAGGAGGAAAGCAACCAAGGCAAAGTGACAGAAGGATCCAGCCTCGAGCATAGCTGCTCCTGTTGCTGTTTTCCGTGAGCTGTTTGCAAATCTGGCAGTAAATTTCATCTCTGTAATAGAACACATGAAAGCATCAGGTAATGAGTCACTGCCTGAACTGTCTCTGGCTACATTTCCACTGCACGCTTGGAATGACTGCAGCATGATGAAGTAGGTCTGAGCTAGGGTACCACCTGTAATGTACCACAGGAAATTACTGTGTCATGGCTTTTGCAAGAAAAGGCTCAAGGTACACCTAGTGCCCTTTGCCACGCCTTGTTACTCAAGCAGTTCAAGTGTGATTCCCATGCTGGGTTACCTCCTATAACAAGCAGAGGGACTGCGCAGGGATAATATCTGCTGGCTCATCCAGGTGTGAAATAGCATTGCTGACCCTCCATATGTGAAACTTGCTCTAAGCTCTCCACAGAATGTGTTTTGTATCTTGTGGCTCTTGTCTGTCTGCTTATGTGTTGGTTTTGGGGTAAGGATAGGGGGACACCTGCTTAAACTTGTATTTTTGGTAAACTTGGAGTGAGTCTTTGGATGAGAATGGAGGAAAGGGTGCTTCAGATTGAGCTTCTGAAAGTGCAAGCTGCCTGCAGCAAGGACATATGGGAAACAGATGCAAAATCTGCATATAAATGAAACTGCTCTTTAAAAATAATCTTGAACTTTCTGGACTTTTGGAACACACATTTGGCAGGTCTGATGTGGGAGGACAAAAGGCAGATGAGGTTTTTGTTTCCAGATGGACATAATGATGAAACAAAGACTGAGGGAGTAAATGCTTAGCCTGTGTGATACATTGATTGAAGGCAATTTTTTGCCAGCTGAGGATCTGCTTTGGGGAGTATATTGACTGAAACAAAGCAACTATGTAGAGAGGAATCCAGCTTTATAGCTGTGGTCAAAGCAGGGCCTGTCCTTATGGGCTTTGTTACAGAAAAGTGTGGCATAAGCTAGAATGGAGGAGAGAATTCACAGGGTTAGGTCAGAACCAGCTAGCTCCTGTCTTATCTTCACACCATGCTTAGCCTAAGGTCCAACCTCACACCACTTGTAAGCAGGATTTCTTTTCCTAGTGGCTGATGTACTTAGCAAGCCAGACCTTAAAACTGTCTCTGATCTGGGGACATTGCTTGAGGGCTACTGGGAAACTGAGGTTATGAACACCTCTCATACACCTAGTGTACCTGAATTCCATATTTCTTACTCGTCTGAGTGTTTCTTCTTCCTCATACTAGGGCTGTTCCATCTTCAGGTGGTTTTGGGTAACAGCCCTGAGCCTCATTGCCTATCTGTGGGGTATTCAGAAAGCTGTATGTGGAGCTGACCTAAACTACAACATAAAGATACCAGTAAAGGCAGTAAGGGAGTTATCTGCTTCCTCTTATAAAGTTGAACCATCCTCCAAAGAGGCGTGTGCCCTACAGTCTGGGTTCTATGTGACCAGCTAGGGCTTTCAGTCAGGAATCCCCAGAGATAAATGAGAGACATTCCAGCATTTGGAAAATGCCCTGGAACTGTGGAAAGCGGATGCTGGATTTCATGATGTAATGGTTGCCTGGTCCCAGAAAGGAGGTACAGATTTCCTACCTGATGGCAGGACGCAGGATTGCATTGCCGATAATGAAGTGCACTTTTTCTAGGTTGGACATAGGCCTCTCAGAGATTGAGTTGTCCTCTTGGAAAGCCTCTTCTCCACCTCTCAGCTGGTCTGTCACCTGAAAAAAACAAGCAGAACCCCCGAGTGCTCTAGAAACCTCCCCTCTTACCAGGCAGCTCTCCCACACTTGAGGGACATTCCTTCTCAATCACTCTGGATAAAACTCTTTCTGCTCAGTGGAGGAGCAGTTTGGAATTTTCATATTTCACCCTTCGTTCCCAAGCTGACTTATAAAATGAAGTGTTACAGCACTAGTAGTGGGTAGGAGAACCTTCTTGTGCTGTCCTGTACAGCCCTTAGCACATGATGTTCTCAGTCTGCTCAGGGCTTTGGGCAAAGTGTTCTGCAATACCAACAATTCTCAATCATAAATTGTGTTCAGGGGTCACTCTCCAGCAGGAAGGGATGGAGTTCATCTCCCAGAGAATGAATGACAGCAGTGCACAGGGAGATGGTTTCAAAAGAACAGTGTAGCATATATCCT